TCGAACCAAACCTAAAATTCTGGTTCGGTTTACCCAGGCGCTCGCCCGAAGCGCCCAGCGCCTGGGCTCGGGCGAGCGCCCAGGCGGCGCCTGATTGAAGCGCGCCGCCTGGGACATTAGCGAGGCGCTCGGGCCTCGCCTCGCCTCGCCCGAGCGCCTAGGCGAGCGCCCGAGCGCCTTTTGCAATCACTGAAATAAGGTTTGATGTATCGAAGCATAACACTCGGTACGGGCGGTATGTACTGGTCCGATAAAGGACCGGTATATGCGGTACATCAATACACTCCATATAGCTTGGTACAGCTCGGTATGTCAACAAATTCCTACCTCTATATCTATCTCTGAGATGTTTGGATTTTTCAAAACTCCATAGACATGCAGAAGAGAAATGCTATCCCCACTCGGACCAAGACATAACTTTTACCAAAAGTTTATTGTGATCTTTTTGTTCAAATAACAATTAAAGTGAAGCAGGGTCAGGAACAACGAATCTCTTTATGATAAACAGATCCATTTTGCAAGTTCGTTATTACGGGTAGTTCCTACAAAGGATCGGACTAATATTGCACCGACAGTTGGTCGGTACATCGGTATGGACTGGTAATATGAACTGTGGTAGAAAGTACCAAAATTTTTTGGTGCTTCAAGTTTAGATCTATAAAGGACTACCCTGCAGTATGCTGAACAAGCATGGACCTAGATTAAGCTAGTGCATGTTGGGAGCTGTACTGGTTGTGCTGTGCCTTTTGGAGTCATGTGAACTGAAAGGTGGCTATCTTTGTGGGTCCCAGTAATACTAGAAGATAATTACCATCCTTATTTAATATGGAACCATACCTTTTTTTTTGTTTCCGCAGTAAATAATTGGGAATGATTTTCCTGTATGTTCACTTTGGCCACTTGAAGGTATTGATCTCCTCAGGATCTATACTTTTGTTACTTATTATTATTGATGTTTTTGTAGGAGAGTGAACTCTTGTTAGTGTGTTCCTCATTTTTCCATTTCATTTAAGTTTTTCTGTCATACACCTGGCTATCCTGTAAAGTGTATGTTTTGCTGCAACATAACCGGATACATATCTGAACGTAGAACTGAAACCTTGCTGCTCCAATACTAATGCTCTCAAGTTTTGCAGTTGTGAACTTGACACTCATTGATCTTCCTGGACTGACAAAGGTGGCTGTTGGTATGTCGCCTGCCATGTTTGTTAAAGATTGCATTTTCCTTCTGTTGTTGTAAAAGTTAATAATAATATTATTATTTAACTTCATTATGCCTTTTGCAGAGGGCCAACCTGATAGTATTGTGGCTGATATTGAGAATATGGTTCGCTCATTTATTGAGAAGGTGATGCTTATAGAATATGTTATGCTACAGATTTGTCTGATTTTATTTGGTCAAATCTAATTTTCAATTTGGCTTTTTATGTACTCTGTTTTAGATGTATATTCTCTTCTTTGATGTGACCATCTAGATCAAAGTTTGATCCTTTTTTTCCTTTTGTTGACAGCCCAATTGTATAATTCTTGCCATTTCACCAGCCAATCAGGACCTTGCCACATCTGATGCGATTAAAATATCCCGTGAAGTAGACCCTAAGGGTATGCTTTGTTGATCGTACATAAAAGTAGTGATCAGCTATCATGTTTGTGTTATCTATTTATTTTCTTGAAGTTTCTTTTAAAAAAATTCCTAATAATCATACTTTTTGATTAAATTGGTGTACCTGTTGGAAGGAGTTACTAAAATTCAAGAATCAGTCATGTTAACCTACAAATGAGACTCCACCGAGAGAACACAGTAGACATGAACTATAATTTATTTGTAATTCCTGAACTTGTACTTTGAAGGCAATTTTGAATTTGAGACTTGTCTGTTACATGCATATATATATATGTGTGTATATATGCAGTCCTTTTTTCCTTTTTCCAAGTCAGGTGCTTGTGTAACCATTTATTTTTTGTCTGATGTCTGTGTCAGTGGAAGGCAACATGAACATGTGTAGTTTGAAAGGGATATTAAAAAGAAGGTAACGAACTTATTATATGCTGAAATGTAGTCGATGTGATATATTTTATGGATAGGATAACTGTCAATGTGCTGACGTGCACTTTTTTTTGGGCTTTAGGATCTCTGTGTGAAATTTTTCTGTAACTGTGACGAGTCTTATCTGTTTTAGAAAACAGGAATGTGCTCCATTGACAATATAACTTTTTGGCGTTTTCCATGAGGAACTAATACAACTACAAGTATACTCCCGGTAAAAATAGTAGCACATTATTCTCTCATTCATCAAGAAAACCAAAAAATAAATTCTGATGAATATCCCTTGAATTTGGGTTGTTTGAATCTATATATGTTGTGTTTTTCCTTTATCAATTGGCACTAGTGGAAGAAGTAAAAACATCTCCCTTGCTCCATATATGTTCTCATTGCATCCAATATCAACTTTGGCAGAACTTTACTTTTATGATGTATTGTTGTAAAACTTGTTTGCCTATATATTTAGAACTCTATAAGTAGTTATTTAATCACTTTTGATGTGTCTGAAAAATCTTAGCATCTCTACATTGAAAATGCTGAATATTATAATCTTTACGTGTATGTATGCCACTAAAATATTAATGTATGGTCATATATGCCTTTTGTAACATATTTGCAAATAATATTTGTGAAGTCCTGTGTTAGTGATCACATATGATATAGATCAGATTGGGTTGGAAATGATTGTTCATTCCAATTGAAGTATTTCATGAAGGCATAGTTTATATTATAATTACATGTTCAAATTGGGTTAAGAATTGGGAATTTAGAAAAGTACAAAAGATAGTGAAAAAGGATTTCAATTATATTAAATACATCTACGTAGATGAAATCCAACAAAATGACACCTTTAATTGTATATGGAATTTCTGATGGCTCATATACATTAAAAAACATGATAGCAAATATGGTATCCCAAAAACCCAAATGGCAAATAGAAAAACATGTTTTGGTGATTTTTCTTTCATTTAGTGATTATAGAGATCAATCTTGTGATTAATTTTTTTGTCTCCATGTTTTTGATCTAGGTGAGAGGACATTTGGTGTCCTTACTAAGATTGATCTTATGGACAAGGGTACTGATGCTGTGGATGTAAGTTTATTCCTTTCATTATTTTTTGCCACTTTTGACTTAACTGCTAGTTTGCTACTGATTTTGCTTTCAGTAATAGTATTCTCTTTCTTTTTTCTTTTCCATAAACATCTTCATTCTTTTTTATTCAATGAAACATTGTTGGTAGCATACAATCCAATTGTTCTCTTCATTATCTTCTGTATTATTGAATTTCTTTATTTTCCTATAAAATTATGCTCTTAACCAAGAATGAATTTTTAAGATTATACTGATGTGGTCCTCTTATAGAATATGTCCAAATAGTAATTCACTTATGTTCATCTGATGTATCTTTCTTATTGGAGACAACAGTTTTGATTTTAACCACAAAATCATAAACTCAACTACAAATTCAATGCCGAACAAGAACATTCTGGGTACAATATCCAAATGCTGCTGCATGATCATTATTATTTTCTTAAAATTCACAAACAACTGCATTCTTATAATGCAAAATCATATGTTTATATTTATTAATTTTTATATCATCTTTGTCTTCTCACTCTATAATCAACATTGTGGCATCCGACAGGTCTGTCAGAACATTTATGTTTCCTTCAGTCACAGATAGCTCAATCTTCAATATTTTTGGTTTTTCTTAGTCAATGAGTTAGCTGCTTGTTCTGGTCCAAGTTTTAGGTTAGCTAGAATGTAATAGTTGCGTGGCAGGGCATTATTTTTGACCTTCTAATGCTTTGTTCCAGCAGTTATTGTTTTTTCTCGTTTCTTAATGTGATTATTTAAGGGTGTTATATCACATGTTGGTTGAGTCCCTTATTCTTGTTGACTTGCTGAATTTGGTTGCTTCTGGTGTCAATAATTTGCAGCGTGCTGTTGTATATTTCTTTTGCATCTGTGGTAGTTGTGGCTCTGGTAATTTAGCAAATTTTCCTTTAATCTTTGCCAATTTAGGATGGAATTTTATTTCTATTCAATTAAAGATAACTGCTAATATGGATTTGAGTCCAGACTTTGATAGATTATTGCAAATGACTGCTTTTGATGCTCTGAATCACTACATGCCAGTTGTTTTTTGTTTGTTACTTAATGCATTTTTCAGAATTTGATTAATTAATTTTGTTTTCCTAGATATTGGAAGGAAAATCGTATAGGCTACAGTACCCTTGGATTGGTGTTGTTAATCGCTCCCAAGCTGATATCAACAAAAATGTAGACATGATTGCTGCGAGGAGGAGAGAGAGAGATTATTTTGCAAGTACACCAGAATACAAGCATCTAGCTCACAGGATGGGATCAGAGCATTTGGGGAAGGTTCTCTCCAAGGTATAACAGTTTCTGCATGTTCATGCATTGTTTGATTTGATTGAGAAGAGAACAGTATTGTACTGGTGACGTTTGGGTTTTGAGTTGGTAGTTTTGAGTAAGAGAATTGCTTATATATTGCTGTTTGCAGCATTTGGAACAAGTAATCAAATCACGGATTCCAGGCATCCAGTCTCTCATAAGTAAGACCATTGCTGAACTTGATGGTGAACTAAGTCGTCTTGGGAAACCTATTGCTGCAGATGCAGGAGTAAGTCGTCTGACAGTTAAACTGAAATACAAAAACTCTGCTCTTTGTATTGGTAATATTATAAAGTTCCTTGAATAGTGTTATTTTTTTCTTTTCATCATCTTGAGCTATCCTAGGCTCCTACCACAATATCACACATGATTTTCTAAAAGGATAATTCATATACTGTTGCTTGAGAGTTGTCGAGAGTCCCTGTATATCTGACATTAAAGAATCTTTTACATCATTGTTTTGCTAGCTGCTGGAGATGCACTGATGAACATCGAGACATTCTTAAACTACAAAATGGTGTGATTCTTATATTGTGCTTAAAGATTCTCATAAAGTTGGGCCCTTAGCTGATTATAGTAATTCACCGTTCTCAACCATTTTCATAGCTTGTTGAACCACTTATGTTAAGTTTGAAACTTAAATCATTAACCTTGATGCACTCCATGTTCTGCATCTTCGCTTTACTAAGCTAAGTTTTCTTGTCCTTCTATGTTGATCCTCTCAGTAAGTAAGAAATTTACCCTATCTTTTCTTTTCTTAATCAAATTTTCTTCATAGTTGTAGAGTTCAAGCTGGAGATATGGCAAACATATAATATCTTCCTTCCTACATGGTTGTGTCTAATTTGTTTTTGTAGATGACTAAGATAGTTATCTTACCATTTGCAGGGCAAGTTATATGCAATTATGGAAATTTGCCGTATTTTTGATCAAATATACAAGGAACACCTTGATGGCGTGTAAGTATCCTACAATTTGCTTTAAGAGATAGTTATTCATTATCACACACTTTTGTGGTTGAAGTGTCAAACACGGTAACTTCTGTCTTCCAGCAAAATTGTTTCTTCTTTTTTTGTATTCTCATGGTCCAAGTTCATCTTCAAAGTTCAAACAATTATGAAAATTTATCTCTGAGAATGATGATAGTCAGAAATGATAGCATCATGACATGCAGAAATGATTACATAGTGTAACTTGTAACACCCTTAGCAAAGACATATGTTCTTACTACCAAGGATCGCCGTTTCGGGTATCAGACCAGTATATACTAGTGTTTCGAAGGGGAAGATAAAGGAGAAGAGGAAGTGCAGGTGGAGGAAGAGGAGGGAGGAAGAAGAGGAGAAAGTAGAGGAAGAGATGGAAGAAGTAGAAGGAGAAAGAGGAGAAGAAGCATACTCAAGAAGCGATTAGGGCAAAGGTCACCATGTCCGGCAAGGTAGTGGCCAGTGTGAGAAGTGGAGGTTGGTTGCGGTGAGAGGTCACAACTGCATGAGAAGTGGAGGTGTCAATCATGGTGAGCAGCGGAGGTGATGTGCTTGAGAAGTGGAAGTGATTAGGTTTAGAAGTTTCCCTTTTATATGGTGGACCAGACCAGTGGCGATCCGTGTACCAGTTGATGCTCGGACCGGAATGTACCACCCATTTTTACTGGTTCAGGCGGAACGCCATTGCTTCTTATCGTAGATGGATGGATATTAGCTTGATATCAGGAATAGGTGCTCTTGTACATCACAAACCTCTTTAACTCTTCATGGTAGTTATGGTCTACGATTTATGGCAATGTGAAGTCATAAAAGGTGACACCTGTTCTGTTAATTTTACCAGTGTTATTGCATTAGCATAAGATTGTAGTGTTATTGTTTGGCATAAATTGTGCTTTTACTCTGCAGGCGACCTGGTGGTGAAAAAGTTTACAATGTTTTCGATGCACAACTCCCTGCTGCTCTGAAAAGATTGCAATTTGACAAGCAGCTCTCAATGGAGAATGTGAGAAAACTTATCACTGAAGCTGATGGGTACCAGCCTCACTTAATAGCTCCTGAGCAAGGTTACCGTCGTCTCATTGAATCTTCATTGGTCTCTATAAGAGGTCCTGCCGAAGCAGCTGTTGATACAGTACGCAATTTACCGAACTCATAATTTCTTTGGTTTATTGTTCTTTTGTGCCATGCTGAAAACACATTTGTTCCTGTGGGCTATATGCTATTTTGTTAAGTTTTTCATCTTCATTTAGGTTAAGTTTTTTCTTCATCTTGTTTATTCTTGGTATTGATTAGAGGCAATGACCATCTTATTTGCTATTTTGGTTGCACCTTGGACGCCAAAGAGAAGTCACTGTACATCCAAGAACGTAGTAATACTTGTGCTAATCAAAGTAGATTGCAAGGAGCTTGGAAATAGTAAATGAGCTAGTGGTAGTGGTTGTTATTATCCTGAAGTAATATGGAGTTAAGATGAAGAACCATTGGGAGGCTTCAATGACTATAACCGATTTAACTAGTTCTCTTTTAAGAATAATGCTGATGCTCCTTTCTTATTGTTCCATCTTTAGCTAACTTATTGAGGTGTTGATTCCAGTGCCCTATCTCAAATTTGTCAGAACTTTTTTTTTCTTTTCCTGATGCCCTTACATAACAAGGTAAAGAAACTATTCTTTTAATCAAATCTTTTTCCAAATCTAGATCTTGATGTATCTTTCTGCATCAAGCAGAAAGGTGTTAATTCCTTAATGAGCAATATCAACTATTGTAACCCCAGCAGTTTGTTATGCTCCTTTGACTAACTGAATTTCTTTTTCTGGCAACTGCAACATCAGACCCTTCAAATAATTTTGTTATAATCACCCCAAAGCAGTAACAAATAGCTCAAGCGAAGTGATCATCAGTGTTTTCTTACAGCATAGAGAAGGCTTATGAATATATTCATTTATGTTTACTGCTCCGCAGAGTACTGCATCATGAATTCATATTAGTATGAAAGGTATAAAATTGAATTATTTGCTTCATTGATTATCACAAGTAACAACTTTATTTCTTTTCATTTATCTGCTAACCATTGTTTCTATGGCATTTGGTGTCTATGGTAGTATATTTTATTTGTTCATTCGTACTACTTGTTTTCAGGTTCATGCTATATTGAAGGAGTTGGTTCACAAGGCTATTAATGAGACTCTGGTATTTTATACTTGCTCAGCTGTTGCAATTTATGTTATGATTACTTCTTTCTTTTTTCCTAATACATATTTTTTCTTTCCATGATGCTTTAGTCATCTTTTCTCTGGTTAATTTTCTTGAGAAACATGTCTGCTAGTGGAAGAATTTGTTGTTGTAATATCTGTAACAAAATAAAAAGCATGCCATACCTATTGTTGTTTGTATTATATTTAAGCAATTCTACATTTAAATCTTTTTGTTACTCTGCAAGTTTAGTTAGTTATTGCATTTAACCTGTCATGCATAATTTTTGGTGAACTGTTCTCGATCTGTATGTCTTAGCTGAATTGAACTGTTTTGTGAGCTTGCTCAAGTCTTGGCCATTTTAACATTTTGTGACGTGCATATGATCCTTAATAGTGAAAATTTGGATGTGCATATGATCATTAATTTTATAGCCAGGTGATAAGTCTTCTAGTTGCTAACTGCAACTACCACTCTTGTTACTGATGACTAGCTGTTGAATTTTCAGTGGGGTATTGTGGTGTTTGCTGATGTTTTGAGTAAAGCAATATATTGGGAGGTATCTTGCTGGTACAGGCATATGCCAAGGCACAGATTCCCATGCTGTGTCCTAGTTATATCTTGTAGTTTCTATCGACACATGTCCTTGCCCATCTGGTACCTTTGTTGGCACAGCCAATCCATATATTGTGGATGCATTGCATTGTCCCTAATGCGGATTGGTAGTGATATTACACTTTGACCTGCAATGTCTTGATCATTAAATGGAAAAGTAAGTGCCTCTGGTCAAGTTAACACATGTAATCGATGTTTCCTTATATAATGTTCATTTGGGTCTTAGAGAAGATGATCTGCCAATGTTTGAGAATCTGAAAAGATAAAGGATATACATGTTTTTCCCCTTTTGCTTGTTGATGCGACAAGTAACAATAGATGACAAGATTTTGTTATGCTGTGACTAATACTGGAAACAAGTTTAAAAATTTAAAGAGACCCAAAAGTCCTGGATGGTGTAAACAGCTTCTCCGCTACATTTGTCCTTCCTTTCTCCAGCACTTCACTAGTTTTGATCAATTGGAGTTGGAATATCAGAACTCTGATGTATGTATGTTGTAACATTGTCATGCCACTTAATTTTGAATTCTTTTCCAACATCGAAAAATTATGAAATGAGACAAAAGGTTATTTCAGTGTAACTATGTAACCTTCTTTATTCTTTTTTATTTAAGAATTTCTCAGGTCTCCTTGTGAGAAACAAACTGATTTTATTCTGATTGATCTTTTGCAGGAGCTGAAACAATATCCTACTTTACGAGTAGAAGTTGGCAATGCAGCTTTTGAATCATTGGAGAGAATGAGGGAAGAAAGCAGAAAAGCAACTCTTAAGCTAGTTGATATGGAATGTAGTTATCTGACTGTAGATTTCTTCCGGAAGCTTCCTCAGGATATCGAGAAAGGCGGAAATCCAACACTTTCTATTTTTGATAGATACAATGACTCTTATCTCAGACGTATAGGTGAGTTATTCTATATGGCATCTGATTGTTTAGAATGTTTAATATGATTCATAATTGTGGATCCTTTTCGGTTTCAAGTACATGCATTTTCCATCTGTTTTGATATGGCTCGATCCTATGAAGATAACTGATCTAATTGCATCCTTGTAATCCTTTAGCTTTGAAAAGCAATGTCCCAATATTGACAGCATACTGGATGGCATTCTACTTGTAACAGGAACAACTGTTCTGGCATATGTCAACATGGTATGTTCAAGCTTGCGGAACTCCATCCCAAAGTCTATTGTTTACTGTCAAGTGCGAGAGGCCAAACGCTCCTTGCTTGATCATTTCTTTACTGAGTTGGGGAAAAAGGAGGTGAGATTGTATAGTAAATTTCAATAAAGTTTTAATTAAGAAGTGCTGCTATCAATGCTTATCTGCTTGTTTCCCTATATATCTGATATATGTTCTGCTATTATTGTTCAAGATATTTCTTGTGTCCTGCTGAGTTTGATTATTTCTGTTGGAGATTATAATCCAATAGTATTAGATTGAAAGCTAGTCATCCATCATAAAGCCTGGAGCACAAATTGACCTGTTTCTGTCTAATTACAATTACTCACAGGAGGCGTTGGCAGGAGAGGTGGGGGTCTGGTGGACCCACTCCTTTGATCCCAACCTACAAGGATCTAGGAAATTTAGGAAGATCATAGTCTGTTAGTTATATCAGGTTTTCGAGCACAGTTTCATTGAGAAACTGGCTATTCTAACTCAGATCTTCAGATCAGATAAAGAAAAATGACATATTATGATTGATTGATTCCTTGATTGGTTAATCTAGATTGGTTTGGACTGGTTGATCTCAATCGCAACTGATGCAAAGCAACAGTTGGAACTTGTGTATGTTGTTCTTCGACTTTGTCATAATTGTGTTTTTCACATTAAAATGAGACATCTAGGTCTTGGGCTATAAGGATGTCATAATTCTGTTTCAACATCTTTTGGTCAGCATATCATCTAATAGTTCTTTGAACTTGACTCTGCAGACGAAGCAGTTAGGGTCATTGTTGGATGAGGACCCAGCAATTATGGAGCGTAGAACTGCCCTTGCAAAGAGACTAGAGCTATACAGAGGTGCCCAAGCTGAGATTGATGCAGTAGCATGGGCTAAGTAGGGAGATGCAGGGGATCACATTGTTCCTCTCTTATAATTTTCACTCTACAAATAGATTCATCTACAAGTCTCTCTCTCTCTCTCTCTCTCTCAATCACTCTCTCTCTCTGTTTCTCGCTATATGCATATCTTGTGTGACTATGTCTGGAGCATGAGGATTTAATTTTCAGTTTGTTACCACTTTATGTTGGATGATTAATTAGGGGCGTTTCCTTTTACCCATGATATAGAATGTATAATACATGATTCCTTACCGAGCATAATATGATGTGCTCTCCTTGGGAAATGAATTTGAGTCTTTTGTGGTAATTACCGATTATAAATTCTCGAGTTCTAACCATAATTTTATGGTAATTACCTGCAGAAATGTCCATCAGGAAGTTTATGTAAAAGGCTGTGTGCGTGTGACAAGAATGTTCTTTTTTGTTTCATTTGTATGCTTTCTCTATATTTCTGTTACTGCTTGAATTGAACTTTGAAGCAAGTTTTTTCAAGTGCAATGCAGCTCAGCTGTTCAGTGTGTAGTAGTCTTACCCTTTCTTTGTTTGAACTAATGCAATACTGTTGAGCAGTTTACAGGCATAAAAGTTCTAAATGCTTGTGATTCACTGGATATATTAATGAAACTTACCTTCTTTTTGGTTTCCATGATGTCAGGTCTCAGCTGAATGAAGAACATGGCAACAAAATGCAGAAACAATCGAGAAAAAAGAACCCTAAACCATATGTTTAAAGCGAACTCGGTAGAACAAAGCAAGCATTATAGCAGGAAAACATATGGGTGTTCGTGTATTTGTACTTGTTTGGAGTATTCCTGGGGTCTGATCCTTGCTCTGTTCATCATCTCATCCTTCCTCGCCCGCACATCACCGAGGACCATGTTTGCATCAATCAAAGCGTTCAGTGGTTTGTGATGGAAACAGAGCTAAGCTTTTGCACGCACCCGGTTTGCCATTCCAGATGAGCAACAAAGAGACACCATCCGAGTACAGATGCCACAGGTTGCTAATTTACAGGGTGGCGATCGAGCTGCGGCCTTCGCATCGGAAACAAGAATTTGGGGGACGAGACGAGGGCTCTGCTCCTTCGGACCGAGAGAAGAGCAGCAAAAGATACACCGTGTGAGTGGAGATGCCATGGAGGGTTGCTATTTACAGGGTGGGTGGCGATCGAGCTCCGGCCTCGATCTGCCATTCCTCTGCTTCGCTTCTTCCCGGAAACAAGATTTTGCGCGACGGGACGAGAGCTCTAGTGCTATAGACCGAGAGATGAGCAACAAAGAAACACCACCTGAAGTGGAGATGCCATGGAGGGTTGGTCGTTGTAGGGTGGCGATCGAGCTCCGCCCTCGATCGGTCATTCCTATGCTTCGCTTTTTATCGGAAACAAGAATTCGGGGGACGAGACGAGAGCACTTCTCCTATGGACATCGGGATGAGAGTTGGTACCTACGGGGCGACGATCGAGAAACCGCCTCGATCTGCCATTCCTCTGCTTCGCGTCTTCTCAGAAACAAGAATTCGGGGTGGGGGACGAGACCAGAGCTCGTCTCCTACAGGCCGAGAGAGAGCAACACGGAAACACCATCTGGGTTGGTAGCGATCGAGCACCGGCCTCGATCTGCTATTCCTCTACTTCGCTTCTTCTTGGAAACAAGAACTAGGGCAACGAGACGAGAGCTCTTCTCCTGTACACCATCTGCGTGCAGATGTCATCGAGGGGTTGGTTGTTATAGAGCGGGGGGCGACGGAACTCCAGCTTTGGTGGAGGCAGTTGCGGGGGAGGATGCGGTGGAAACAAGGCCTGCACGCGCCACGGGAGCCGCTTGACGTGGGCCTTCACACCGACCATGAAAAGATTTGTCGTGAGTAATTAATTCTTGGTAACTCTCATTCATCAAAGCAATCATTTGTTTTCTCGTGAGAAATGGAACCGAACCTTAAATCGACTCGTGGTCGATCGATCAACCCCACCGGTCCGGTCCGTAATTCTTGATAATAGCATTTGTTTATGTAGAAATCTGCATGTCATAATAACGATAATAGCATTAATAATAATGAAGGCGAGAAAATGTTGGGCCGTGTGATCCGTGATATCTTATGGGCCAGTAGAAGTCCACTACCGATCCGATTCCCGCTCCTATTTCCTCGCTTCGCTCCGTGACGAAGCGAACCGCTTCTCCAAATTCCACCGGCTCCTGCTGTTACCGTCTCTCTCTCTCTCTCTCGCTCGCTCGCTCGCTCGCCGCACATGAAGAAGAAGATAGATGTCGCCACGCATGGAGGCAGGAGGAGGAAGAGCCTCTACGAGCTGTCTCTCACCGTGGCCCTCCCCCTCTGGTGCCTCCTCTTCGTCCTCCACTCCCGCTTGGGGCACGGCGACCGTCGTCGAGGTTGCTTGCCACCTCCGTCCCTCCATTCTGTTGTTGGATTCTACGTAAAAGCAGCTGCCTTCATTGATGCTGATGCGCGATCTTTTGTAGATTTGTCGTCCGATGGCGATGGCAGCGGCAACCTCTGCAGAAGCACACAGTTAGAATCGTATTTTCCTTTTATGCAGAACAATACCTTCAGTTGCTGCGGATTGAAAGAACCCGAAAACCCAATGAGAGAATTGATTGGAGTTGAAGAAGCCATCGCGAATGGGAAAGCTTCGGAAGAAGAGAAGGGAAGAAACTGTAGTCGGGCGAAAGAAAAGGCCGATCCGCCCACGCAATCTGGCTACATCGGGCTGGATGAGTTCCGGAACCAGACGCTGCGAAGAAAGGAAAGCGATGCAGATAAGCTGCACGGCAAAATCACCCACAGACTGGAGCCTGGTGGCTTGGAGTATAACTACGCCTCCTCCGCCAAGGGCGCAAAAGTGTTGGCCCACAACAAGGAGGCAAAAGGGGCAGGAAATATACTGTGCAGGGACAAAGACAAGTACCTTCGGAACCCGTGTTCTGCGGTCGACAAGTTCGTCGTCATAGAGCTCTCCGAGGAGACGCTGGTCGATGCCATCGAGATCGCAAATTTGGAGCACTACTCATCCAACTTCAAGGGTTTCGAGCTGTTGGGGAGCTTGAGCTACCCAACAGAGACATGGACGCCGCTCGGCGTCTTCTCCGCGGAGAACGTGAAGCACGCCCAGCGGTTCATGCTTCCGGAACCGAAGTGGACGAGGTACATGAGGTTAAGCTTGGTCAGCCATTACGGCTCAGAGTTCTACTGCACGTTGAGCTATGTAGAAGTCTACGGTGTAGATGCCATAGAGCGGATGCTGGAAGATCTTATTGTGGTTCCGGTGGAACCTGCAACCAATCAAATGTCCGTGGAAGCAGATCCCAAGTCTGGTGACAAGGTTGAGGCTGCCCAGGTTCATGGTGGGGATGATGTTCATAGCAAAGCAGACCCTAACAAGTCGAGCACGCTTCATCCTGTGAAAGAAGGCAGGCAGCAATTAACTGGTAGAGTACCGAGTGATGGAATTCTGAAGATTTTGATGCAGAAGATGAGATCAATGGAGCTCAGTCAGTCCATTTTGGAGGAGTACATAAAAGAACTCAATCGAAGATACGGTGAAGCTCTCCCAGATCTACAGAAGCAGTGCTCGGAGAGTGCTCTGGTACTACAGAAAATGAGTTCAGAGATCAAGGAAATGATGGAATGGAAGGAGTGTAAGGTATGTGTTCTACTTCTCTCGTTCATCAATGCATAAGGCTTTCTTTCTGGTTCTCTTACGTATGACATCATGCAGGAGAAGGAACTTACTGACCTTGAGAACTGGAAAGCCTCTGTCTCAGCTGAACTAGATGCTTTGGTCAAAGACAATGCCTTGTTCAGGTTAGGAAGCACTTTCTTTTTGGCTTCAACTTTGTGTCCCTGATACAAGATCGCTTAATAAATCATAGAAAAGGTGACACCAAAACAATTGTTAGAACTACACAGGTATATATATATATATCAGTTTTTAATCTACCATGAAGCTGCTAGACTTACTACTATCCTAAGAGTTGTCTCTATTACTCGGGGGTTTGAATTTTACATGAAGCTGCCATAAATCCAAGGGGCTTCTCCACGTTGGCATCTTCTATAAACATAAGGAACTCAAACCTCTGTGCTTAATTATTTACTCAGTGAAGCTGCATGCCTCTTACCATCTTTTCTATTTGATTGCAGAGCAAATATTGAGAAGATACAGAGCAGCCAAGATTTACTAGAGAGCAAGGAGCTTACCGTAATTTCCATTAGCCTATTTTTGGCATGCTTCGCATTCTTTAAGTTGGTGTTTGCCCGACTTCTGACATTGTTCAAGACTTGTGAATCTGACATGAGAAGCAGGAACAAGAGGGAATGGCTCCTAATATTTGTGAGCAGCAGCCTAACAATTCTCATAACCTTATTATATGGCTGATCTCATTTCTGCCGAGCAGTGCGTTTCACTTCTTGCAGCATCAGATCAGCTTAATCATCAGGAAATTTTTACAAAAACACCACATGTTTCGGATGTATATAATTCTTGTAGCCAACTTCTTGTTAGTGTAATCAAATCCTACTTCAAGATCGAGTTGCCATCTACTGTTTGCTCCTCGAGGGGGTTTCAGTCAATCTGTACTTTTCATTCGGTGCAAAGAAGTTACGAGGACGAGACCTACAATTGTGCAATGGTCCGCTGGTGTCTTTGTGAGCCCGATGTGACTCTGATTTGTATGCTTAGAGTTGTATGAGATAAAAAGCGCCTCCTCCCGAGATGAAAATACCGAGCACAAAGGCCAAAGTAGGGAGAGACTTCCCAAGCTGATCTCTTCCATGTTCAAATTATTCCCGAGATCAACTTTTGTGGGTCTATGTTCTCGTTTTTCATATCCCTTATCTAGAGTTGAGGATGTGTTTTTATATCTGACATTGGAGAGAGAAGATTTCGTACGGTAGGGGAACCGATTTGTAACTGTCATGAGTTGCCCATTAGACTCCTACAGAATATTCTCATGAATATTCTACAAGGAAAGTATCTTGTAATCGTCCTGAACCGTTTTTTAGACTTTTATCTGTGCGGGCAAGCGAGTGGCAGACTATTTGGGCCTTTTCCTTCCACAGACTTTATGTGGTGCTTGCGTGGCGAGCGATGGTTGGCTGATTGTGTATTTTCTATCATTTGTCTCTCCCCCCTAAAGCGTGTTTCAGGGCTCTTGCGAGAGGGTTTCAAAGCGTGTCATTTAGTTCATCTGACATGAGAGCATTCAAGATCTCATCTTGCGGATCGGGTTTTCCCGATTCAAGTGTTTCGAGCACATTGGGCCTGTGTTTCTATCGTAGCAGATTTCTCTTGGCACGAGTTGGGTATTCCCGACTCATGCGTCTTAGGTGCATTTGGCCTTGCGCTTTCGTCGTAACGGTTTTATCTTAGTTTGAGTTAGATTTTCTCGACTCACACATCTTGGGTGCATTTGGCCTTGTGCCTTCGCTATAGCGGATTTATCTTGGTGCGAGATGGCTTTTCCCAACTCATATGTCTTGGGCACACTTGTACTTGCGCCTCTATAGCAAATTTATCTTGGCACTAGACGGGTTTTCTCGACTCACATCTTATGAGCATTTAGTCTTTTGCCTCTACTATAGTGGATTTATTTTAGTGCAGGATGGGTTTTTTTAACTCATGTGTCTCGGGCGCATTTGACCTTGCACTTCCGACATAATGGATTTATTGTAACATGGGTCGGGTTTTTCTGACTCACACGTCTCGAGCGCATTTGGCATTGCACCTCTACCATAGTGGATTAATCTTAGTGCAAGACAAGTTTTCTTGACTTACACGTCTTAGGTGTATTTGGCCTTGTGCCTCTATCGTAGCGAATTTATCTTGGCATATGTTGGGTTTTCCCGACTCACGTGTCTCGAGCATCATTCGTCTTGACTTTCCGCCGTAGCAGGTATTCTAGTACGAGTCGAATTTTTTCGACTCGCGTTCCTCGGGCACAATTCGACTTGAGCCTCCGTTGTAGCGAGTCTTATAGTGCGAGTCAAGTTTACTCAACTCACGCTCCTTTTCAAAGTAGTCCCAAAGAGACACTTGACTCAATTGCGAAGGGTGGCTCCATCGCAAGAGTGGAGAGTTCGCTTTCCTCGAACGACATATGAAGTGGGAGAGAGAACGTATCTTCTTCAAATCTTTCTCGATTGACGCCTTAGTAGTGGAGGAGAGAGATCATATCGTGTCCCCTAAGGGGGAGGGACAAATGAGTCTTCTTCAAATCTTTCTCGATTGACGCCTTAGTAGTGGAGGAGAGAGATCATATCGTGTCCCCTAAGGGGGAGGGACAAATGATAAGGAATACATAATAAGCCAACCATCACCTGTCATGCAAGCACCACATAAGGTTCATGGGAGGAAAAGGCTCCAGTCCTACTTGCCCGCGTGAATAGGAATCCATGTGGTAATTTAGGAAGATTACAAGATGCCTCCCCTATGGAATATTCATGAAAATATTCTACGGGAGTCCAAGGGGCAACTCGAGACAGTTACAAATTGCCTCCTATACGAAATACTTATAGGAATATTCTATCTCTCCAAGGTTAAGTATAAAAATATACCCTCAATTCTATGAGGCGTGAAAATCGAGAACATAGATCCACAAAAGTTGACCTCGGGAGGGACTCTCTGGAAGCCTCTTTTGGCTTCGGTCTTTGTGTAGGTAACATTTCGAGAGTACGATATTTCCATCTCGAAAGAGGTGCTTTCCATCTCGGACGACTCAATGCATACAGATTAGGATCATTTTGAGTTGAAAACAATGCCACAATATCACGGCCAACTTATGAAGGATGTGACAAAATCTTTACCCTAAGGAAACTTCAATGACAATGCACTTTGCATCAAGCAGAAATCACGTAATATGTTCCAAAAATATGGGTACTGTTACGGTAAGTAACTTTTTAGCCGTGACCTCGGGGTCGACGCGGCTGGTTCGGGGCTCCGGATGACGGGGATCAGACGTGGTGCCCCTTTGGTCCCGGTGGTTGCTGAGGCAGGGGATCTGACTTGGAAAGTTCCGCGGCGATGATTGCGTCCAGTCGCGGTCGAGCACCTGCACACAGGTCGGGTCGGTAGCTCGGCCCGACCCCTCCGAGGGTCTAGTCAGTGATCGTGGAGAGGAGTTTCTAGAGAGATCGTTTTTCCTCCTTTTTTCCCCCCCTTCTGGCCTGTTGGGGGCCAGGGGGTATTTATAAGGGGGTTTGATGTTACCTGATGCGCCAACCTGCCGGAGCCGGGTCGTATCTCTGATGGCGCTTGTCGATGTCGTGGGCGTTGCGTGGAAGGCCGAGCTGCCGCGGGGTATGGGGGGTGTCAGTCAGCGCCATCCCCTGCCTTGGCTGGATACGAGGGTCAGCCGAGGAGGTTGTTGGGGTACGATCGGCGTGGGTGCATGTCGTGTCGTTGTTAATGCTCGTGCTGGGGCAGTGTGCCGCGACAGAGTGTCCGACGTGGAGATGATGTATTATGACAAATCTGGGGTGTTATGTCAAATCAGTTTTTACCCCTATCAGGTACTAATTGGTATTGTACTAAATATTCTCTCCTAGCTTCCAGCAGATTAATATGCTGAGTAACATCAGGGTGAAGATTACCTCTGTATCCAACTAGGGGAAAAGAAAGACCGGAAAGTGATGGGTGGGCAGTCCATCCTTTGAAACCAGGGTAGTTTTGTGATTCGATGCAAGGGCTTTGTGCGACGGTTCAGTGATTTCCTGAATAAGACAGTGTGTGAAGTCATAAGATCAACAGTTCCGACTCCTACAAGATGTCATGCAATAATAGTTGAATGGAATGAATGGAAAGTGAAACACCCCCCGAAAAGAACACACAAGAATATGCGTGTGATCATGCTAACAGTGTACGATCTGCCTGTCACAAAAGAAACTTGTATCGACTATATGCAGAATAAAAACGGGAAAGAGCAAACCTAAAAGTTCTTTGGACGATGGAGTGTCAATAGATGATCCATCACTACTGCATTCTAGAGAAGCATTGTGACCGTTACATCATGATAGGTCTGTCTTCACTTGTAACTATCCAAATGGTTCAACTTGCAGGTGCAATATATCTCACAACTTCAACCTTTCGATTAGTAATGAAAATTTCAAAATTGTCCATCTCCCATTATGATTAGTGGCCAGACTGGGAGCAAAGGATCAAAGAAATGAATGCCCCAGTGCATCCCAAAGATAAATACTTCCACAGCGTATCAGTTCCCAGAAAAGAGGCCCTGCCTCAAGAATTGGAACAGAATAACGAATGTGTTGATGAAATAAAACTTTTACACTCGAGCTGCTGCCCTTGCTCTAGCCACAGATCTTTCGTATAACTCTTCGTATTGTGATGCTGAAGAATCCCAACTGAAATCCAGTCTCATGTCCTTCTGAACAAGTTGTTGCCAGCTCTCAGGGCTTCTGATGTAGTGCTGAAATGCCCGTTCCATGGCACTGCTTAGGCCCTACAGACATGTTCTTGTCACTTTGACTTGATGGAACTTTGGTTTTGAATCAAATACAGGAAACTCTCAAGGATGATGAGAAATTAACACACGAAATCACACATACTAAAATTAAGTGTTTGAACACTGCTCCAACGAACCAACAATGACGTTTACCTGCTCATCAGGTGCGACAAATGTGAATCCATTTTGGTATTGTTCTGGTATCGTATTATCATCAACATCAAAAACACTGCAGGAAGAAGAATGTAACAAGTTAATCAATTTGAAAATAAATATTTGTACATGGTGATAGAAATAAGAAACATTCAGATCGAATACCTACCTATCATTCAGCCCGCCAGTTTTTCTTACAATTGGAACAGAACCATATCTCATAGCAATCATCTGTATCATCAAAAATTATGAAATAATAGTTTCAAAATCAATGCAAAAACAGAACCCATAAAATATTGAAAATGGCAGTCTGGGGTATTTTTATTTTCATGCAAGTACTATTGAATAACAAAAATCATCCTTCCATGTGTAACAGATTAGTGGCCTTAGAAATGGTACAGGAGAGAAGCTTTTCTCCATAACAACCTTAAAATAAGTCCAGATAAATATCAGAAGCAGCAGAAAAATAACAAAAAGTTCATACCTGAGTAAGGCCACAAGGCTCAAACATTGATGGAATAATAAACATGTCAGATGCTGCATAAATCAAGTGTGAAAGAGCATCATCATATTTCAAAAGCAACCGGACGTGAGAGTGGCTCTGGAAATGGTTTGCAATGTCCTCAAACTCCCGCTGCAAGATTAAGTAATCTTAGACACACTATTTGTCCATGAAAAACAGGCCTCATATTGCTTGGAAAGCATTTGCAAACAAAAATACGAGCAGAATCAATTTAAAATTACATATTTATCTTCAGTTTTGCATACACTAACTCTACCCAACCTGTATTAGTGGGAGCCTTGCATGCCGGATCATCTTTTTATTTCTATGCTCAAATTTTGTAGGGCTACAAGTATTGTTGGTTGTTTAACCAGAGAAGATGACCAAGAAACTTGGAGGTTCATAAAATATAATTTTTGTCATTTCCCTAAAAAAAATGAAAAATGCAATTCAACTTCCGAGATTTGATGAAATCACGATATAAGTGAAAATTTCTCAACTGGTCGAAGAGATTAGGGACAGGACTTCTGATAATTACAAAATTTCTCAACTGGACCAGGTTTGGTCAAAGAAGCTAGAAAACCTGGCCTCAGACAACCGCAAGGATTGTGTATCTTCCTTTTTGCCAAAAGACAGAATTCTAGGTCTTATTTGTTTTCATTACTCCTTATGAATGTTCTATGGAGAAAGCTAGACAAGCTTCCCAAGTATCAACAGAAGAGGGGACATTGACAGAGAGATGATGCATAAGGAAGTAAATTTACCATTAATAGTATGGAATATAACCGTGAGTAAGGCATAATAAATATAACCATTTAATAGCTAGATTCCAACCTTCTAAGGGATAAAGCAAAGTCATTTGTGAGGACTATAAATAAATATGTAATTGTGGACTTTTGCAATATTTATGCAATGTAACCAAGTACCTACTTTTGTAGAAAATCATGCATAGATTGTAAAATGATTTAATGTAGCAGCTTATATCAGCAGCAGATATGCTATAACTACATACCTCATTAGAGAAGTTCAGAATTGTGTTGTTTGTTCTAGAGGACACTTGAACCATTCGTGATAACAAGTCAATAAACCATGATGCAGTAATTATAATTTCATAGAAGTCCTAAATTTTGGCATTCCTGTATAAATTGCTGATTCTCATACAACGTTAACATATTATTATTTTATAAACTGTAAACATCATTTATCCATATATTGCAAGAACATTCATATATTAAGAATATCTCCTGTCAGATTTAGGGAGTCCCATGTGTGATTCCTCTAGATCATTTGGATACATAACACACATGTTTCATGTCTGAGTAAAACATATAAAGTTTAATTACTAATACCATAGTTTAGGAAGACCCAAGGATCATCGCTCATAAAGAGTAAAAATATCATTAAAATAAAACTAAGAACTGTCCATAAAACTGACAGTTTATTTTTTGATAAAAGAAACATTACTTGAATGTGGGGCACTGGACTTGAACCAAGAAGCACAAACTGTCCTCCTAACTCAAGCGCACAGTATATTGCATGTCTGATAAGATGGACACCTTTCTGTGGTACGAGCCGTGTAATACAACCAACCTGTTCATGAAATTTCGATACTTGATTTGAGATGACAAATACTATGAGCTGACCGAATTTGGAGCATGGTTAAAAAGAATTTTATATCGACTTCAGAGCAATGATCTACATCTCCAATTTTTAACCCAAGTATCAGCAGAGTACTAACAAAAAGGACAAATTACTATGTTCTATGCATAAAGATATATCACTTCGAAGAAAAGGATTAAGAGGAAAACGACTATAGGCACAAAGCTACAAAAAAATCTAAAATTGGTATCTCATAAATAAAGGTGTGCTTTGAATTTTCTTCCTTGACAATTATTTTTTTATTGTTATATTGTATTTTCTTGGGCTTATCAAAAGGGTGAATTGGCATCATAGTATGGATGACCATTTATGACTTAGATGCCAAGTGTTCCAGAGTCATAGAAATATCCTTTGCTTGCAGGGATATGAATCCCCAGTTCCAAAAGGTAACGTAGCCGGCCATTTAACCCTGTAAAAACCCTGCATTTGTGGAAGCCTTAATTGTATCCTTTAAAGCATGGAGATGGATATTATGGGTTACACTAACATGGAAAATCATAAAAATTGACAAGACATGACAAAGAGATGATATTTACTACATGTATATAGTCAAATCCTATTCTAATTTTATACTTCATAAAATAATGATAATATATGATCATCATAAATAAAAACCTTGATAACAAGCACAATAACTGTTTGTGCACATAGCAAATACTCACACAAGTACTTGAAGCTCACACAGACATACATACATGACATCATGGAGTATAAATTCTAAATGGCATACACATTACCCATAGTTGTTTCTTGAAGTAATCTGTGGATGAGTAAAGTGTCCAACATACATACAATATGTCAATATAAATGAATTTAGATGGTACAACAGTCATGTGTTTTAACCACCCAACATGTGTCACGAAGTGCCTAACAATTGGCGTCTGCGTTCAACATGTACACTGCAAGTATTGGACAGGTTTCCTGCTTTAGAGGCCACATCCTTATTTTCTAGGACTCATTAACTGGACACCTACCTATACATTTTCATTGCCATCTTCTATCCCACTCAACTAGCTTTGCACAAGATCAGAATATCATTCATTAGTCTATTTGTTACCTCTGGATTAACCTGATAATTAATGCCGATTAAGGCATGTTGATCAAGATCAAGATAACGGTGAATCTGCAACCATTTATAATGCAACATCTTTGTTTCCACCATATTGATAAATGATAAAAGAGAGAACACTTTTTTGCAATGTAGATACTGCACCCCAAGAGTCAAGCAATAACACAACTCATTTATAAACTTCAATGAGCTCAAACTTTGAACTATTTTAAAAGAACAATAATCAATAGAGATTGACAGTTGTAAAAACAGTAGTTCGATAAGTTAACCTATGAGATTTCAGAAAAACATTAAATGGCTGCTTAAAGGAGAACTGCATCTATTTTCAACTTTTGGTTAAAATGATGGAAAAACATATGGAGACAGGAGTTGATCTTAATGACAGATTATTACCCACAAGACAGCACAACTATGGAGACTGAAAGAAGAATACAAATAGCTTCTGTAGTTATCTGGAGGCTCAGCAGCTGCTAGTAAGAACAATAAACCTAGGAAGGGCTTCCTGAGTAACAAAAGCATTCAAATGACTAATGACAAAACCCTACTTGACACTGGTTAGTGCGTGTTGGTCTTTTTTGGTGCCTGTAATAAGTAATATTCCAGCTCCATAAAAAGTGCTTCCCAAGTTGCAATCAAGTTTATAGGAAAGGTAGCCCAAGGAACCACGCCTACTTCTGTGTGATTGTTCACTTAATGATATGTTAGATTCCTTTTTAACGAAAAAATCAAAACAGGTTAAAGTCTGCCAACCAATTATGAACAGTGGTGAACATAATAAAGCTTGCTTATGAAGTCTGAGGCATATTACCACTATGACAAACCACTGCAAAGCATGAGCAACTACAAAGAACATATAGGTTTTTGACAATCAAGCTTTAAACTTCACATAACTCTATAACAAGGACATATAAGATAGAAATCAGATAACATAACTATATTTTTTATGTGAAGAAGTTTACCAGTGGTTGAGAACCCTCAGAACCGGAAAGCTTAAGACACTTCCTTATAGCATCTTTGTTCTCTGCTTTTCCCTGAAGATCATCAGCACTGTACTGGACACTGATATAGTTATCTGTGGAAGGATTCCATGCATCTGTATCAATGCCATTAAGAATCCCAATAAATTTCTTAGAGTGAGATTTTAATGTTTCATGGAGGCCCCGACCACCCTGTCAAAAGAAGCCATACATATAAAAACAAAAGTTAAAAGAAGCTATATATATTTGTCCAAAACACTAAATAACTCATACACCAGAACCATAACAGTATTGACTAAAGAACATAGATGCAGTTCATGACTACATAAATGAATCAGACATTCAAGGATAACCATTAAAAACGAAAACCACAAGTCACATTGAGATAGACTATGCTCACTACAATTAAATTAAGGAAACAACTATAAAGAGATAAGACACAAATTCTTAGTTGTGGCCCAACGAGATATCTGTTTTTCAGTAGTGGCTGATTTCAGGCGCTCCACATATCTTCAATAACTAAATTTGCATTCATCTGAATGCACTTTTAAATATTTGGAGACTTGCTGCTCCAATGAGGTTATTAGTTATAGGAGCAGAGGCTTAATGACCGAGATAAATATATAACATGCACAGGGTGCATCTCTGTGGTAAGCAAGTATCTTGACCATAAACGAAAAGCACCAGTTGCAAATGTTACTAGAAAGGTCGGTGTCAGTACCTCTACAGTGCGGACCTCTTGAGAATAAGTTGGCGATACAGTGGTAACAATGTTAGAGAACACAATTGCACCCTGAAATTTCAATCCATTCGTTTACCATTGCAATACAGGAAAACAAATTTATGCTTTAAATAATATTTTACATGCATATTTGCAAAATGGTCTATCAAATTACCTTGACAGTATTGACTTTGTCATCTGCTGAGTGGTCCCGCATCCTGTCAGGTCTGTTTAGCTGGTGGACATCAAGTCCACAGGACGCCAATTCCGAAGCAGGTGCTGTTCCTTGATACTCGAAGTTGTGGCAGGTGAAACAAATTCTAGCTGAATTAAAACCCTTGGCAGCATATATATCCCAATAAAGTGGTGCCTGGAAAAAGAGAAAGTCTGGGAAATGTTAGAAAATGTTAAATATGGTTGTGTCCGGTCTAATAACATGATTTCAGCAGATGGTACTGAATGCCTACAACAAAGGCTGTCTGCCAATCATGACAATGGATTATGTCAGGTTTTTTCCCAGCTTGATAGAGCAATTCAACAGCGGCACGGCTAAAGAATGAGAAACGCTTGAAGTCATCGTACTCTCCATAGTATTTTCCTCTCCAAAAGAACTTAGCTGGATGATGAGGTTCTATAAAATAGACAGGAAGACCTGTAAATCACATTCCCATGAGCCTCAATTAGTTAAATTATATTAGTTCTTCTTCAGCAGAAGTTAAAAATCAGTGTCAATCAAAGCTTTAGACCTTCAATAATCCCAACCCAAATTTTGTTCCTGAAGAGTTGTCCATCAAAATAAGATTCTACTACAACATCCAGTGCCTGGAACATTAGCCAAACTGGAAATTTAGTAAATGACCCAGCACACTTTCCCAGAAGTTTGAGATGATACATACAAAAAGATAGTGATATACCTTCATATCAGTGATAAGATCATACTGCATGCAGTCATATTTTGGCAGGACAATTTCCACCAGGTGTCCCTTCCTCTGTAGTGCTTTACCAAGACCTGATATAACATCCCCTAAACCACCGACCTAAGAACATAGCTAGATTAGAAAATGGTAAAATAATAGAAAGGAGCATTTGAGTTTAGTAATGGTGGAAATGCAAATGTTTAGGTTAAATAAGTTACACTTTGGCAGCGTAGCTTTTCAAAATGGTCACATTTAGATGGTTTCATGTTCCTCTAACTTCAAACTGATGCTTCAGAAGTCGGTTCAACCGTTCAAGTGTGCAATAATAAAATGGAAAACCAGATGAACATTGTAACATACACAACGTACTTGAACAAGTTAGTTCTTACTGCCATTTTTTTGTAACTAACCAATATTTTCTTCTTGACTGTTCACTTGCAACAACAATAAATAACTCGAGATAACTCTTGTAGATCAGTATTACGTATTGAGTGTGGACCCAGAATTACTTCTAAGTTCAAATTAGATAAATATATCCTAAATTAAATGATAAGGTATAGACTGAAGTGAATAACAAAGTACTCCAAAAGCTAAAGAAAAGATCTAAAGAGAATCTTAAAACCAATTCATCATGAATTTAAGCTGAAAGAAAAACATTAGACAAGTTAAACTTTTGAATACCAGGTTGCAAAAATTCTCATAATTTGTATCCCATTACTTCAATTGTGGGTTCAGCTCACCTTTGCAACTGGGGCCATTTCTGCTGCAATATGGATTATGTGCATTCCTGGACTGCAATAGTAAATCAGTAAAAAGAAAAGATTGGTTATTTGTAGACGTGTTTCATGGGAAAATGTAGTACAGTCCACATCCACCTATAATGGAAACAGAAACCCAACCTTGTACGAGAGTAAGTCAACTTAAGGAATGTAGCCAACTTTTCATGCTCACTCTTGCTTCTGCTTGCTAAATATGCATCACGAATCTGAGCATCCTTCTTCCATGTCATTTCTCTCAACAACTTAGCATCATTGACTGATATTTTCTTCTCAAGCAACCAACCATCAATTATAAGCAGCAAGCGGCTCCAGAATTCCTGGGGCAGATTTTCCAAAGAAAGTTCTTGAGATCTTTTCTTGATTTCTTCTTTTAATCTTTCCAGTGCATCATGAAATTCTCTAACTGATTCTTGAAACAACTGAATTTGAGAATGCATTTCTTGGTCAGACTCCCACAATTGCTTCTCCAACAGTTCAATTTTCTCTCGCAAAGTCTCATCATAATGGTGAAAATTTTCAGATGGAAACTTTGACACAGTTGCTTCTGTCACTAATGCTTCTATCTTGTCAACCTTCTTCTGCAGCTCATGATATTGTTGTAAACCTAAAGAAGGCTGGTCCATCACTCTGCTTGCATCATTAAACAATGCTTGCAAATTTTCTACCTTGTCCAACAAAGCTTTGCATTCATATCGCAGAGAAGCAAGTCTTGAAACATCATCCTGAGCATTTGACAGTTGAGATTGCAACTCCATAAGGGAAGCCTCCAACAAGGAATGTCTTTTCTCCAGCAAAGGTAAACGCTCCTCTGTTTTACTAACATCAGCCAGTTTCAACTTAAGCATCTGTATATCATCCTTTAGCAACGCATTTTCTTTCCTCAGGTCATTAAGCTCCAAAACAAGGGGAGATTCATCATCCAGTGTACCATGCTTTCCTTCCTCAATAGAATTCCTTGAAGATATTTCAGTCTTCAATTTCTCAAGCTGATTTTCAAGGAGTTCTGCATTTATCTTTTCTTGAGCTGCAACTTTAATTCGTGCATCTGTTTCTGCCAACTTCATCTCTAGATTGTTTATTTCAGCTTGCAAAGCCTCCTTTTCAGAAAGAATTTTTTCGAGTTCTTCAACTGCATAAACATGAGCTTGATTAAGAAGCAAAATATCTAAAAAAATTGTAAGAGAGGAAAAAAATTGTGAAGGATAAAGACAAGAAATTTTTATGGAAACACAAATAAATATGCCTACTTTTCTCAGCATTCCTGATCGTGGCTATCAAGTCCTCTAGATGAATGCTTGGATGCTCTTGTTCATCATTATTCTCAATCTGCAAAAGAAAATAGCCTATTACTCTGAAATTTTATTCCCTTGACGAGAAATTGATCATAGCAATTTAGTTGTGTGCATCAATTGCTTCTATATGTAGCTGTAGACAATAAATAAGCATCAGTCTCAAAAAGGAGTTAGAAGTTGCAATGAAAGATATTAGAGATCATCTGAGACCATATGCAGTGAAAAAAATACACAAAATTTATGCATTTGACTGATAAAATTGAAATTTATAAGCAAATTCCATTTTTCTTCCATAGTTCCAACTTCGGTTGAAGAAAATTTTAGTTATGCAGAGTAAAGTAGAGAAGTTGCTTGTTGCAATGATAATTTCCGTATCAACTGTGGGAAAAGAAATTCTTTAAAGTGAATGCTATTGTCTTGCTCTGCTTGTTTCAAGTCAATAATTCATTCCTTTTGTTGGCAAGACATTGAGGAATGAGGACAATTTTGCAACTTCTAAGATAGCTCTCTAAGGTGAAGATAAGATTCTTTTTGATTTGGAAGGGATTGATTTCTGCAATGGAATTGGATGTTCTTGATTAATGGAAAGATTCTGCTTTGGAAAGAATAGTGGGGGAACTCACAAATCCAGTGTGCTCCCTACGATCTTGCCAGCATAGTTCACCTTACCGATCAGTACCGGTGTACCAATCGGCCATCAGTTTGATAGGTACTGACATATCAACACATGGTACGGTGGGACATACCGACAGACCAATATATACTGCCCGTACCAAGCGGTATGATACAGTACGATGAACCTTGCTTGCCATTGCTATATTCTATGTTTTTCTGAATTATGTTTGCATCTGTTGATGAAGAAGCCTTCTCAACTATAAATACTTGGAATGGCAATCAAGGCCTTCACACAACAAAAAGATGGTCAAAATAGACTTCCCAAAGGATCCCAATATGCATGGCCATTTAGGAGTTCAACCACTGAACGATGAAATAAAGCATATGGTAACTCTCTCTTGAAGAATAAAGTGTCTTGCTGGATAATAACACATTTGAAGTGTTAATATTTAATCAAAGAGTCCAGCACAGAATGAAAAGGTGTCACAATATGTAGCATATGTCCACAAAGAACAGTGAAAATGATTAGCAAATGATTTGACACTCTACAAGTTAGGTTGTGGCAGACAAGAATCCCAATGACAAATCTGCAATCCTGCACTATCTTGACAGTAATATTACAACCTAACAACCTTTATTGCTATAAGATAAAAGATAATAAGTAAACTCAAAAGACAGTGGTCAAAGAATAGAGTCTGATATGAACCATGATAGTTAAAAAAATAATCTAAAATTATACATCATGTCAGGTGAATGACATGATGTCAAAAAAACTATCCAATTAAAAAAATGAACTTTTGCAATTAACCATCTATATTACCAACAGTAAAAAAAATCACAAAATTAACCACAGAAAAGAGTACAATACCACCATATTAGTTTCTTCAAAAGATGATACTGCTACATCCGTCTCACTGTTACTATCAGACTCAGCATCATTGCTTGGTATGGTTATTTGGCTTGAATGCGATACACCAGCAGAGCTAGCTTCTTCAGGTTCACAACCGATATTGTCATGGGATTGAGCATTCATATTTAGTGACAGCCGCTCTGTAGGAGCCCTTTTAAATTGCTGTCTCTTTTGCTGGGAACTGTATATGTTCAAGCATTTTTCCAAACAGCAGTTATAATATATTACAACAGTTCTTCACAAACAAAAAGTTATAGTGGATTCACTATAATAAGTAATTAGAGAACATATTATTATTTTCATATTTAATCAATTTTTATTGTACTGGCAATGCAGAAGATATGGCTTCCTAGCAAGTTTAAATCACATGTTTTTGTATACAAAACAAAATAGCCAAACCATTCAAAACTTCTTCATATTGTTTTGGTACCAACCTATGAGTTATCAGAGAACGCTCCAACCTGTGGCTAGCAAATATAATTGTCAGGTTTAAATTAACCAAAGCAATCGATTTACTTGATATCATACTAGTAACAAAAATTTTCGAATTTTCCAAATCAGTATAGTCTTAAAACAACCATGTCAAGTATGGTTGTCACAAGTCAATACATCACAGGCACTTAAGTAGACTTCTATTCCTACTAACAATGATAATCTAAAATAACAGAAAAGAAAGATAAAAAAAATTACAATCAGTTCTTTTTTTTTGTCTTCTCCCTTCTTCTCCAATTGTAAATTTTAATATTGTGTTATATTGTATTATTGCCATATTTATCCTGTTCTTTCAATTAAACTATTACATAGCAAAAAATTTACTCCTAATACCTACCAAAAAAAGCAAAATCGTAATCCTAAAATAGACCCAATCTATATATAATTGTCCTTCTTAAAATATTAATAAAATAAGGAGAAGATTCTAGAAGAGCGAACAAGGATTCATGACTTGGTCAAGCAGAACTTAACATAAAATCAACCATAACTTGACCAACCTAGCTTTTTCTATTTAATCAAACACTAATTAAACTCAATTTGGACTAGAACCAAACCAGAATGTGTTCCATCTTTCCATATCGAGTTCAATAATTAGTTTGTGAATTCCTGAGATTTCTTCAAAATAGGTTGTGGCTTACATTTAATCATGACCTGCCCGCTAGGCCTGCTAAAGTACTAATCCAATTAGTTGAATATAATGAGCCTAGGACCATGTGGCTCAATACCATAAAACCCAAACCCCACATCCGATGGGGAACTAGTTGTGGCATCACGTATTTTGTGCGCCATCTCTCTCAAAATGGGCTTATTCCATCATAATTCTAAAAGCTTTAGCTGGCTGTGCTGTCAGATTATATTACTGAGAACCAGTCTTCTTTAATACTCTCCTTCCTTCGTCAAGTGTCGGCTAATAAAATGCCATGTACTTGGATTTTCTTCAGACTTGCAAATGATGCACTGATTCCAAGATTATAACAAATTTCATCGATCTTGTCCCAGCGATCATGGCACAAGAAGAAGCAAGAAGGTGAATCCAACCAAGAACCCAAGCTTAAGACACCAAACCAACGATTTCATGAAAGGCAACCGATCGCCAACCGACCGGATCGAATCAGGAAAGCATCAGATAACCGCCGATGGTGCCACAAAGCAACAGGAAAGCTACGCATGCGAATAAGAAGAAAGAAGAGGACGGACCTCAAATGCCTGTTCCGCATCTTGCAAGAGACCGCGCGCGAGAGGCGGAGACACGCGATCGGGGGCCGGGTGGGGGTCTTGGCGCAGCTGAAGCCGCGGCCGAGAACCAGGTAAGACGCCACCGACGCCATGCGAGGGGAGCTCGAAGGAAAACAGCACCAGGAGGAGGACAGAAGTTAGGGTTCTTCGGCTACGATCGCCACAAGAAGAAACGATGAGAAGAGAGAAGCGACGGCACCTTCGGCTTCTCCAATTCAAGCAACCGCTCGGCTTCGAGCTTCCGTTTACTCGGGAAGTCATCTCGTTGCTTTACTTATCGATCAGGACCGTCGATCGGATGCATATTTCCGGACGGTTACTGCGTTGATCGGAGATCGAAGAATCTGGACCGTCAGAATAGGATGGAGAGAGAAGGGACGACAGACAGCGTGTTCGAATCACGAGGTGGGGACGACAAGCGGCAATGACACCGTTCCCACCGGGGCGAGGGTGGGGCGCTTCCTTCTCGAAGTGGCGGACGGTCGAATTCTTTGGAATTGGATTCGACCCAACAAGCCCACGGGCTCTATGTCGGATCAAACATGAATTCGATCCATCAAATATAATAATTGATGTTATATAAACAATAATTGTTTTCTTGGCTCACTACACAGTCTGATAAAATAATTATTCATTAATTTGATTGATTCAACTATCAATACAAAATACTTAAAAGACCAATTCAATTATCTTTCTATACCCGATATAAGATTGAATCGGGTTGGGTGTCATGGCTATCTGCCAGCAGCAGAGTTTGTCTAAACCTTCTTTTCTGTCAGGAAACCATGGGCAGCAGCCTATCAACTTCACTAAAAGCTACCAATTGGGGGAGAAGCCAGAGTTTCTCAGTGACGACAAAAGACATAGCATTTGACCAAGACAAAAGAGACTCCACCTCTAAAGGTCACAATAAACTGATGAAAACTTGCAAAACATAGAACACAACAACAAAAGACACTTGTGCAGTCCAAAGAAGATTGCATATCCACAAGCAATACTCCCAACTCCTCCAATATTATACTACTTGCAGTGTATGGCCAGCACAAGCTTGTGGCACATTTGATATATAAATATATATACAAGTCATGTGAATCCACTACAGCTTCTATATACATGGAATGTTACTATTTTATTGTTGTATATGGTCATTAAGGAGCCCATAGGAAATCTATCATGGATGATGTCGATGGAACTCGAGACTCCTGCTGGGAATGGACTTTGACCGATTTCCCCGTCGACGTTCTGCATCAGCTGATTGCTACGTCTGAACCACGAGTTGGAGTCAAAACTCACCAAAAACGACTGGCATTACAAAACTGGAATGGGGGACCATTGACTTGAAAATAATTGCATGTCGATCGAAAACAACCAATTTATTTGCTAATAATCGATTACAAATTCGAGCTCGGTATGACAGGATAGAGGGAGACAGGAGTACAAAATTTATTGTGAAACATGTCATCACTGTATAAGCTTAAGTTTGAATTATCTACAACTACTAAGGAATTGACAATGAGATGGCGGCTAGGGAGGAAGGAAGAAAAAGAAGACTCACTGTTCAGAAGAGAACTAATGGCATTGTGGGACACCTTATGTTTATTAGGTTCACATCAAACGATACAATAGTTGGAAGTCACTAATAGGTCGAATGAAACCAAAATTAATCCATATTTAGACCCCAATTGTTAAAGAAACCAACTGCCAAATTCTTCTAATTTGGTTCGGTTTGGTTTCATCTCAAGCATATATTTCTCAAATTATCCTCTCTTTGTATATATTAATATATATGAATACAGTAATCATTCTTCTAGAGAGCCCCACCAAACGGCTTGGCCTTTGGTGACCACAGAATGCTACTTTCTTCAACCTCCATCACTGGCTCTACTGTTAACTTAACTCGAGCTGTGTATATATAGAGCCTTCTCTGCACTTCCCTCGTCATCATTCACGCCCTGCGTACCTGCCTTCTCTCGCTCGTTTTCTTTTCCGGCTCTATAATTCATCGACTCAGTAGAGAAGAGAGAGATCGAGTAGGGAGAGAGATGCCGGCGGGACAGGTGAACCGCATGTCGGCGACGGCGGCGACGGTGCCGACGTACCCGCCGCCGGAGTCCGAGACGGAGGAGGCGTGGGTGTGGGGGCAGATCAAGGCGGAGGCGTACCGCGACGCGGAGTCGGAGCCGGCGCTGGCGAGCTTCCTCTACGCGACGGTGCTGTCGCACCCGTCCCTCGCACGCTCCCTCGCCTTCCACCTCGCCAACAAGCTCTGCTCCTCCACCCTCCTCTCCACCCTGCTCTACGACCTCTTCCTCCAGTCCTTCTCCTCCTCTCCCACCCTCATCTCCGCCGTCGTCGCCGACCTCCTCGCGGCCCGCCATCGCGACCCCGCATGCGCCAACTTCTCCCATTGCCTACTAAACTACAAGGGCTTCCTCGCCATCCAGGCCCACCGCGTGTCCCACCTCCTTTGGGGTCAAAACCGCCGCCCCCTCGCCCTCGCGCTCCAGTCCCGCATCGCCGACGTCTTCGCCGTCGACATCCACCCCGCCGCCCGCGTCGGCAAGGGCGTCCTCCTCGACCACGCCACCGGCGTCGTCGTCGGCGAGACCGCGGTCATCGGCAACAACGTCTCCATCCTCCACCACGTCACCCTCGGCGGCACCGGCAAGGCCGTCGGGGACCGCCACCCCAAGATCGGCGACGGCGTCCTCATCGGCGCCGGCGCCACCATCCTCGGCAACATCCGGATCGGCGAGGGGGCCAAGATCGGGGCCGGATCCGTCGTGCTCATCGACGTGCCCCCCAGGTCCACCGCCGTCGGGAGCCCTGCCCGGCTCATCGGGGGCAAGGACAAGCACTCCACGCACGACGACCTGCCTAGCGAATCGATGGATCACACATCCTTCATCCAGGAGTGGTCCGACTACATCATCTAACCTCCTAGGTTAGATGATGATTGCGGATGCTTCTGCCACAGGGTGATGAATAAAGCATCCGGCTGCTTCTTATTACGTATGCCGTGAGACTGCCATGAGTTGCAAGTATGAGGACCTGTACAGAGTCCGGGTATAACATTCGATTGTTGTACCTTCTTATTGTGTTTTGCTCTGCTCTCATATGGATTCGAATGGTCATAAGTCGACTAGGTGAGCTTTTCTCGTAGGAATATGGTCAAACATCTTATCTGCTTTGAGAAACTGTGTGCGCGTTTTTGATTGCATATGACATGCGGCGATGTTCTGGTGCTCTGATTCTTGTCAGATACATTTCTCAGAATCAACGATCTTCCGTCGATGAGCCAGCCGTCACAGAGCTCGACCTAATCAGCAAAAGATGATAGGAGACTCGATTACAAGAGAGTCTATCAAGTACTTTAGTGAGAATTCATAAAAATGAACATGCTAGCTAGTTTGATTAATAAAAACTTTATCAAATCATCCTATGATATAGGATCAAAATTTATCCTTTGCAAAAAGAAATCATAAAATTAGTAATGTACCTTAGTAGCAATACGACAAACAAAACAAAGCATATACGAACACAGCATGGCTTTCCTTTCTTGGTTGAAGGTTACTGCATAGACCGCAAATCTTTGTCAATTTCAACCTTCCTTTCTGACTTTTATTGCAAGTAAAGACTTTCTTTTCTCCTCCCTTGTCTTCTCGTACTCTTCCATAGTCATCCCCTTCGGGATCACGTTGAACGAGTCAAATAATACACACAACACACACTACATCATCGTTTCCCAGGTGGCAGAAGCAAAACAGATAGACACAATGTAAACACCAAGCAGTAGTACTGAGGTGCATTACCACAACATCAAACAGTAGTACAAGCCAAACCAGAGAACAACAAACATCAAGGATACCTTGAAAAGATTTCTTCAGATAACCTGAGGTGCATTATTTATTCCTCAAAATGTCATGTTCGGAATAAGTTCACTTGTCACCCCTAGATGTTGATTTTTCAGTCAACTAGCTAAAATAACTATGATAATAAACCTTTAGTGTAATTAATACATGAAACCTTCTGTACTAATAAAAGTCCTGCATGGAATTGCCAAATACCCCTTAATATTGTCGTTTTCATGTTAAACAAATCCTATTTCAATCTTTTATGTCATGAAATAAACAAAATGAACTAAACCAAGACATGGTGAAGTTATTTGTCAAAGTCACGAAAGTGGCATACATGCAAAAGTGTGCAAATAACAATTAATATCAAGAGCAAGTTTAATGTGTATATCTAAAAGGGTAATACATTAATAGACAGTTTAATGTGTATATGTGCCATTCGAAGTTACATTCGTTCGTTTTCTGTTAAGCATAACACAAGAGCAAGTTTTCGAAGAATTAAATACTAAACAGTTTCTGTTCCAGTTACCATGCAACTATAACTATTAGCTACTTAGCTTAAACAATGGAAAACTTGAAGGAAAGAAATAAACAATTAATATCAAGCCAAATTACAACATAGATACACAAAAGCATTAAATTACAGCACAAAGACTTCAACCTGGAAACTACAACTACATAAAGATGATCAGTTATCCAAATATGTTATTTGAGCAATCAAAAACATAAAAAAATATAACTGAAATAAATTGAAGCAAAAAGTGGAATAAGAAGTGCTCAAATTCATAAATAATTACTTTTAGTTACAACAAAGTATACAACAATAACAACAAGACCGTAAGTCCCAATTATTTGAGGCAACTACATGGATCTTTCATCATCATTGAGATATGTAAAAAGTTATATGTTTAGTTAAGTTCAGAATACTTAAATCTTTATTTATAGTTTCTATTAAAGTTTGTAAGTCTTCCTCTATTTCTCTCGTACCATTAACATTAATCATTTTATCTCTTCTGACTATCATATTCGGAAGTCTCCTAAACATATGTCCATACCATTTTAAACGATTTTCTCTCATCTTATTCTTTATTGAAGCGTTACTTAGTTGTTCTCAAATAACAATATTTCTTTTCGTACTTTTCCTAATAACTCCACACATCCATCTTAACATTCTCATCTCGACAATACAAATTTTTCATATATGTTATTTCTTAACTACCCAACACTCATATCCATAAAGTATTATTGGTCTCACAATGATCTTATAAATTTTTTTTTTTAATCTCAAAGGTATCCGATGATCAGATAAGACTCCTGATGTCCTTTGCCATTTTAATCTTCATGTTTTTACTTTATAAATAATATCTTCATTGGTCCCTCCATCTTGTTGAATAATTGATTCAAGATACCTAAGACTTTTACTTAAAGGAACTTATTGTTCATCCAACTTATCTATATTCTTTTATCTATTTTTAAGATTACTAAAATTACATCTCATATATTCAATTTTGTCCTATTAAATCTAAAATCTTTAGTTTCTAATGATTTTCTCCATAGCTCACATATATAATTAATTCCACTTAGGCTCTCATCAACTAAGACAATATCATCAACAAATAACATCCACTAGGGAGCTCTATCATATAAGTGACCAGTAAGTTCATCCATTATCAATGTGAAAAGGTAAGGACTTTATGTGAATCATTGATGCAATACTATGCTAATAGAAAATTCAATACCCACACTTCCTATAGTTCTAACACTAATAATTACATTATCATACATATATTTAATATCAATATAATTTATGGATATACCTTTCTTTAATAAAACCCACCATAATATGAGAAAGAAGATTTCAAATTGAACAAACAATCCAAAGGAGATCTTGGTTGTCTCAATAAATAAGATGAGTTGAATAAGATTAGTAACATGAGGAGAGATTGAGGGAGACCAAAGAAATTTTACTGCAGATAAAAAAAATATTTGTTTGCTCTTGGTGTGACTACTGATGGTCACTTACATAGAGCTCAATGTTAAGATGAATTTTGAGAAGCTAGACATTATGGTAGTTGCTGTATTCAGACAAAAACTAGGAGAAACAACAATAATAATTTGCAACCTCAGTATGGTGGTAAATGAACCACTACGTTCAAATTAGCAAAAGAAGGAAAAAGAAACATTATGTGTCTATATATACATGGATCCTGTTGGTAAAGAGATGCCACATATACTAAAGAAACATTTGAATGAGTAGGAAACTAGGTAAAATAAATGTGCGATCTAATATATCCCAACTTCTGCAAAATTGCACCAAAACTCATCAATTAAAGTTTGTGATAAATTTCCCATGTTTCAGTGTACAATATATACATATAAATTTTGAAAATAATCATGAATTCATGAAAGTTCACATAACAGTATAACACAACAAACAACCATGAAGTAACTGATTGAAATGAACATTTTGTTCTTTGAAAAAACTTGTACTCAATAAATTATAAAAGGTTGTTTTTGAGCCATGAAATATTAGAGCACTATATCACAATAATGTATGTAAGGAAAGAAGCTACCTTATCCTCCTTTTCTTCTGTCTCAGGAGGCACACCCTATTTATTGTCCTTGCTCGTATCTGTTGGTGGTTTTTTTCCTGTTCTAGCTGCTTTTCGGTTGCAACAGTCTTATCAGCATTAGAAACTTCATCCCTCTCACTGTCTTCTAATACAGTTCCACAAACGTAACAAGATCAGTGATGGCAACTACAAACATAGCTTCACCAAAATTCTTCCGAGTATATCGTGCATCACAAACAAAGAGGAAATCTTAACTGTGCCACAGTTACCAGGTCCTGCACCATGGCGTTTAGTCTCATAACCTCAGCCTGTGCCACTGCGCCACTCATACAACCTACGTGAGGACCGTTCAGAGTCACCTCCGGAGTCCTCAATCCCATTGCCACCACTGCTCCCCATATCTTCCACATGGCCACCACCAAATGGCTGACGCGGCGGCGTTCCCTCTCCAGAAGCCTATCGCCATTACCACCACCACCACCACCATATCCCTTAGAGATCCCATTGGCATTGCCATTTCCAAAGTAACGATTTGGGTACGTCCCGCCACCTCGACCACCTCTTCCATCCCTTGTTTCGCCACGGCCAGCACCACCGCGTGATGGTGCAGCATTTCTCGCCTCCCTCACTATATGCCAAACACACTCGGAAGCTTCGCTTAGGACATTAGGTCATTGAAAAAAGATCAAATTTCAACGGAGACCACACAAGACCCAAAATTCGATAGGAAACATCACAAAGGTCGACGTTTCGAAAAGCACCGCGCTGAACCAAACCAAATGCGATTCGGACTAACCGGAATGAACAAGGTGGGGAAAAGAAGTTCTTGTGGGAAGCTTCGCTACTGCCGAGGAGGTCGAAGGGGTTCGCGGTGGCCATCTCCGCGAAGGGCCGCCTCAATCTCCGGCCACAGAGCGGCTGCAGCGAAGCCTATAACCGGAACAACCACACCCGCGATGCGATCTCCATGGGAGATCCTAAATGAATCAGGGGCCAGACGCCCCTCGGGAGAGCAGAAAGCTAGGGTTTGGCTGGCGCCGCGGGTGTGGGTGTTCATGTCTAAAGTATTCTTTCAGGAAAGGAAGACCAACGTGGCCCAAATCTGAGCCTTGACAGTAAGATCGTGCGAAGGAGATTGTTCTGTGATCGCCGAAATATATCCCACAATAATCTCATTATTATTAGATTCATAAAAGAAAACAATCATATTATAAATGTAATAATAATTGTGATGGAGGAGTCCGAGAAATGATAATTAATATTCTTCATGAAATCTAATATGGCCTGTGGATCCATAATGGTCGATTTATTGTCGGGAAACAAGCCCTCGTTGGATCTCGGTCTTCCTATGTTGACTCCGCGAGCCATGCTTGGCTTCAGATCTCTCCGCGCCCTTTTCGACTCCGCCGGCCTCCGCCGGCATCTCTCCCCCCGGCAACAGCTCTCGGCCCGCCGACTCCACCGAGGTCTTCAACTCTATCCTCTCCGCAGACAAAGAAGACCGTACTCGCTCTCTCTTTCCTTCCTCTCTTTGTGTATGTGGTTAAGCTCGTGCTTCTCTTGTTCTTGGTCCAGAGTCGTCGATGGATCGGAGAACGCAGGAGTCCGGTTTCATTCACCCGACCGCTGTCATTCATCCGGATGCGGTCATTGGACAGGTCTCCTCTCGTCGACCTTCCTTTCACTTGCTGTTCTGCTGTTACCTGAAGTCTGTATACATGCTTGGCATGCCTTGCTTTGGAATCATTACGAACAATGTGTGTATTATGAAGCTATTAGTTTCTTGATGTCCACAGGGTGTGTCGATTGGTCCTTTCTGTACCGTTGACTCCGCCGTCAAGATTGGTAATGCTTGCCAATTGCAAGCAGGGAGTCATATCATGGGGGAGACCGAGATAGGGGATTCTTGCATCATTCAAACGTGAGTTCCAGGTTGTTGTTTGATTGATTTCCAGTAGATTAGGCACTGAGATAGCAAATAGCGGCAATCATATTGGAATCCTTAATGAACCAACTGAAACTTAAATTGCAAATTCTGCTGATCCAAGTAACTAGCGACTGTGGAAATCAAGATGGATAGTTCATGTGAAAGCTATGCACGACTAAATCTCAGTGTGAAGGATTCAGTTTTGGAATGGTCTAATTCCAACACGTAGCATGAAAAATTACTTTGAAGCATAGCAATAGTCTCCAGAGTATCAGTATTGGTAAAGTATAACATACATCAGAAACAATAGCTGTAAAAAAGGGCTTAGAAGTGGCTGCTCCAACTGTTTGTTATATGTTGGATTGCAGTGTCATGCAAAGTTTTTTATTTGTTCTTCAGTTTTCGTGGTGTATTAAAGAAAAGATTAACTTTTGGTTGGATCAGGGGCAATCATATGGATTTGTGTATAGTCATTACCCTAGCACTACAGAACAACTGTCTGAACTTTTTAAGCATAGCCACTTGGAAACACTGGATGATAGTTTTGTTCTCAAGATTTTGTGTTCATCAGCAACAAAATCATTGTTGATGTAATGGTAAACAAATCCGCAGGCAGTGGTGCTATTGTTGGAGCAGATCTAGCAGGTCGAACAATCATTGGAAGTCATAATGTTATCGGACATCATGCGGTAGTTGGTGCAAAGTGCCAAGACTTGAAATATAAGGTTAGTTGTAGGATTATCATGCATTCTATGGAGCATGCAAATGCTATTTTGCTTTGTACAGTGCCTACCTTCTTCTTCTTAAGTTGCAGGTTAAGATAATTTTGGTTAGTCTATGATGCTTTTTAGGTATATATGTGGACATTAAGCTTCAGATCTTCACACCCCTGAAAAGAGCATATATATTGTTCTATTATAATTTTTCAGGGTTAAATCTGCAGTTTAGCAATTTTTCTGGGATGCTTTCAGAAACCACGAATTTATATTTTAAACCAGGCATCTAATGTGTTCCCTATTTCATTTAGCAAGGGGATGAATGTTTCCTGCATGTTGGTGATCAGAATGACATCAGAGAGTATTGTTCCATTCATCGTTCATCTAAATCTAGTGACAGAACGGTATATCAATTTCTTCCTTTTCTCCTCTTTCGTTAAAAATTATTACTGATCAGTACTTAATTCTTAGGTTATTGGTGATAACAACTTAATCATGGGAGCATGTCATATTGCTCATGACTGCAAAGTTGGTAACAAGAACATATTTGCTAATAACACTCTCCTTGCAGGCCATGTTGTGGTAGAAGTGAGTCATTTTTCTATTGTTATTTAAGAAGTTGGTTGAAGAGTATCTTGTTGATGTCAGAAGCATTTCCACTGCAGGATTATGCTCATACTGCAGGGGCTATTACTGTTCACCAATTTTGTCACATTGGATCACACTCTTTCATTGGTGGGGGGTCTGTGGTAAGTTATTTTATTGTCTAATGGCATAATATTGTCTTATTTCGCTCTTCGAACAATTTGAATAATTTGTTTTTTATTTTAATCAAGAATTATCAATTCATGAATCGTATATGTTTCTTTTTCTAATTTATGATTTGTGTTATTAAATAACCACGTATGTGGAACAATTAGCCAGTGATGATTAACAGCATATTGATCTACAAATTTATTGATGCTATGGATAACTAATGTTGTTTAACTCAATTTATAAGAAGTCTTTTAGCCATAGTATGTCTATAACTCCTAACTTGCTCATATCATTCCAATATTGTTATCCAAGATGTCATTTAGATTGTTCCTAATTTTCTGTTGGCATTGCGAGTCACCTTGCAAATCTTTGCCATCAGCCAACTCTAGGCAGTTTTGTAGCTTCAAAAGAGAAAAAGAAGCGAGTAGGAGCAAGGATGGAAAGTTCTGAGATCGAGGAATGCAGAAAGAAAACTATACTATGATTGTGAAAGTTTATTGTTCACTGCAACAATACACTTGCCATCTGCACGCATTGTTGTAATGTTTTTCATCTGTTACTGCACAAGATAGAAGAAAAGTATATAGGGAAATGAAAAGGGGAAAATTTCGAGTAGCTCATAAACTCTCAAGGAAATACAGAAGCCAATGTGGTGACAGGAGATGACATGATTTTGGATTAATCCCAAACTTCTTGGAAACTCCCTAAAGATAAAGTTTTATTTGTCTTTCATTGCCAAACATTTCCTGTGCATGGTGATCAAAGAATCATCTAGGCCACATTATAGAAACCATTTTTTTTAACTGTAGGTAAATAAGTTCTTGATCTTTTTGGCATGGCATATATAGTATTTATCTACTAAATTAATATTTTTTGTATGATATGAATAGAAATATATATATAATAACCCTTTTTAATTAATTTTGTTGTTGTTTTTCATTATCATCATCTTGCTTTCCTTCTTTAAAGTTAGATATATAATGAAATAGGAAAGTAAACCAGTCTTTTAGCATATAATACTTATATTGTCTGAAATATTATTGTATATATTTGTATGTTTGGTATATTGGACCATGAAAATGGGATAAAATTGGACCATGCTTTAATAATCAGTACTTTTGGCTAAAAAAAGGGATTAGTTCCCTCCAAGGTATGAAACGTGTGTCGAATGCTGGAAGGCCTTTGAGTACAGGTGACAGGTCAATATACATGACCAAAGGGATGAAACTTATATTGCTGTTGCATATGCATTATTCCTTCAATTATTTGTTTGAATGCCAGTTTCCTTGTGCTTTTAAATTATACACACTGCTACTGTGATGTTCACATTTGCATTAATTGTTTCATCTTCTTTCAATTTCACTTACGCAGGTTACACAGGATGTACCAAAATTCATGTTGGTTTCCGGCGATAGAGCAGAGCTTCGTGGTTTAAACTTAGAGGGCCTTCGGCGGCATGGATTCTCAAATACCGAGGTAGTATTATGTAAAAATATGACCTTTCTGAGTTAGATTCCTTATTTTATCTTGTGAAGCAATATTTCATCTTGAGATATTACTTCTATAGTAAAAGATGTAAAAGAACTAAAAAGCAGTTTCATATTCCTATTTTCCTTGTCTGCTTTACTCGAATCCATATGTTGCATTTAGCATACGTTGGCCTTGTATGAACCCAAGGGTCCATCAGAAAACCAAGGTCACCTGCAAGTCCTAACTTTGAGCAGGACTTATTTAAGTGAGAGCTCAGGTTTTGATGCATAAATGCCATCCTTGTAAAACATTTGGTAATTTTTTGCTTCTCAAATGTCATTCCAGATATGAGATAGTTGTCAAATGAGATGGCTAATCTGTCAAGAAGTTTGCTAACTATCAGCTATGTTGTCAGCTGACTCAAATGACATTCGTAACTGTCAGCTAGGAACCATTAGGCTGACTCCAAATAGTTAGAAATCACAGCAATTTCTTGCAGTTATAGACGTCGTTGTATGTTGTGCCAAGAGAAGAACCTTGCCTGTTAATACCAATTGTTATTAGCTAATTCTGATTTGTATTTTTTCTAGCTCTATATTTTCAATGAAGACAAACTTTAAGCAACACCATGATAAGCAATATCCATGGTGAGATTTAATTGAAGTGCTAAACTGCACTGTCTACTCTGCAGTTGTGACTTTATTTGTACGAACTTGATTGAGTGTTAATTCACTTGTGGTTTTCTCTTCAATTTTTGCAAGATTCGAGGTCTGAGGAGAGCTTACCAAAAGATATTTATGCCCAATGAATCAAACTCTGGGGGCTTGGATGACAGGCTCGCAGAAGTGGTACGGAAGACTTGTGTTTATGTCATTATCTTCATGTTCTGTTTATGCCATGAACTAACAAATATCATTTGACCTGACAGGAGCAAGACAAAGAAGTAGCTCACTTTTCTGCTGTGTCTTTTATGGTGCAATCCATACGTGAATCATTTCAGCAAAATCGTCGTGGAATATGCAAGTTCAGGAATTGGAGTGCCTCCTGAAGAATCGTGGCAGTGAGCTGTTTTTCTTTTGGTATGTCTTTCTGAATGTAAGTCTATATGGCTGATACACATGAAGACTTGTTTATCTGACTTTGCTTAGTAATTACAATCCAACTTTATCTGGTAGCCTTAATTCTATGCCTTTTGATATTTTCACATTTTTAATATTTATTTGTTAGTACTTTATTTATAGCCTTTCAATTATTAAGGGGCATTACTAAGGGAAATTTTTGGATGAATATTAAGGGGAGGGATATATGTGGAGGATTGAGGGGATAGATATGTTATATTAAAATGTGTAGGAACTAATACACCATGAGGAAACCCTTTATTGAAGGCAAACTTGCATATTATTCTGGTTGACCGGGTAAATTCTGTGATTATTTATGCTGTACCAGAAATCCAGTCATTCTCTCAAGGTTCACACAATTCCAAACCGGCCTAAGATTTCACCAGTGCCGATCATTTGGAAGGCCTTCCTGCTATAGAAGAAGCAAACTCTGATAAAGACCAAGATGAACAAAGACAACAGACATGGTATCATCAATGTCATCTTGCTGAAGGCCCATCGCTGTCTGTTTCTTGTAGTCGGAGTGTACCAACCTTACTAATCTCACTGGATTCCGTGTACAAGATGTTGCTGCACATGTTCTGGTACTGGTTCTCCTCACCAGCATTGCACAGTGCCAAACTCTCCTTTAGCTGCAGGACCACCTCTGTCATCGTCGGCCTCCTGACGGAGGAATGTGCGACGCACTCCAGTGCGATGTTGGCGACCTTCCAAGAAGAGTTGAGGCAGTACTCCTGCTGCAGTCTCGCATCCACGACCTCCTCAATGTTGCCTTTCGCAAGCTTCCGGCGAACCCATTCAACCAGGTGACTGCTCTCTGGATCGCTTAGCACAGGAGGTTGACCTGTGATGAGTTCCAAGAGAACCACCCCGAAGCTGTACACATCACTCTTCTGGCTGAGTTGGTTCTTTATGTAGTACCTAAAGTGGCATAGAAGCATGTTCCATATTATCTCTATAACAAAATAAACCTGTTGAAGGAAACAAGAGAGGGTATAGTTTGATGATCACAAGTGAAAGACCAGATAGGTGCTTAGGTTTGTCTAGTTCTTAGCAGTGCAAAACTTTCCAAAACACTTGATGCTCTTGGCTGCACTACTTCAGTGAAGATTTTCCAGCCTACCACTTCATCATCTGTATTGTTCTCAAAGTCACCACTTCCCTGAATCACTGTGAAAAATATCTTATCTAGAGATACATAGAGATAAAGTGGAGCTTTAGTGCCTCGAGCCTCATTTAGTTTATCACATCATACAACAAAAGTAGTGATAGCTGCAAAGCTGGTAGTATCCCACTTAAGATAATCATAGAAGTGTCATTATTTACTTGCACACCCTAGCAGTAGAGGGCAATAAATTCCATTTGTTTGATAGTGTAATCATCTTTAAGGCTGTTTCTGTTTTATGGAATTCATTTTTCTTGTGCTGTTGTCTCACTTCTTTGTATGTCTGCTGTATCATACTTCCTCTCTTTTATTTAGTATCTGCAAAATTTCTCTTCTTCCATCCTCCCTTTCTCCCTATGCTTGTTTCTTTCACTTCCTCACTAATGAAGCAGATGAGCTGAAGCCACAATCTTCCCTTACTAGAAGAAACTCATTAAAGTAGGGAGATGGCACAAGACATTCTATAACTTCATATGAATGGTTGGGTAGTTAGTTCTTATTGTTTGTGCTCCATTTTTTATCTTTGGTTAAGCATAAGAAGAAGAGTAATGGAGCATAAGTTATGACATACTCTGGATCAAGGTATCCCAGGGTGCCAACAACCTTTGTGGAAATATGAGTGTGGTCATCACTTAGGAAAGCCTTGGACAGCCCAAAATCTGATATCTTGGCTTCTAGCCTCTCATTCAAGAGGATGTTTGCACTCTTTACATCTCTATGAATCAGTGGAGGCTTGCACCCTGTGTGCAGATACTCAAGCCCTGCATCACATTAAAATTCATGAGTGTGTGATGAAGGCAAACGAAAGCAGCCTTAAGGAGTGACTCAGTAACTCGAGAATGGATCATTAGGTATTATTGCCAAACCTAGTGCGGCTTCAAGAGCAATCTGGAGACGCTGTCTCCAACTCAAAAGCATAGCACTGCAAGTACCTGTTGGAATTCATGGTAATAACCTGTCAGTAGCTTGGACCAAACAATCATAGGAAACATGCATACATGAAGTATTTCTTGTTCAGGAGTCACTATAAAAATTACTACAGCAAGATCGGTATCTGCGGTAGGAAATACTTCATTTGAGAATACAGAAGAAAGCCTGGCAAAATTTATGTTTTGCAAGGGTCACATAAGAGAGTGCAATTTTATTCATACTGATCAATATGGGTAGATAAGAATAAAATTTCTTCTTTCTAAAGAGAAACAGTAGCAGCTAGTTCTAGAAAAATATTAGATAGCAGCAAAGTACATGAATAGAAACCTCTAAGATGATCTTTCAGGGTTCCCTGAGACATATACTCGTAGACAAGAGCTAGATGATCTCCTCCATCCTTGCAATAGCCAACCATAGAAACTAGATTCTTGTGATGCACCCTTGTCAAGTGCTGAACCTGCAATCAATCAAATCATAGAACACCGACCATAAAGAAGATAACTGAACTGACCTCCGAAGGTAGAGGAATATCAATTCTAATTATGATGTTCTCTGATTTCTGAAAAATCAAGGATATAACCTATAAAAGCGTTCAAGTAGAAAAGAACTTTGAGTCGATGTGAACATTACCTCAGCGAGGAATTCTTTCGTCCCTTGTGATGATGTTTGAGATAGCATCTTCACAGCAACTTCAGTCCCATCTTCCAAACGGCCATAATAAACCGTTCCAAATCCTCCTTTTCCAAGGGTTCTCTCAAAGTTGTTAGTGATCTTCTGCAGCTGAATGTATGTGAATTTTCGATTCTCTAGTTGTAATGTGCCTTCATTCTGCAGCTTCTCAGTGGTACCTCTTTTTGATGCTTCAATGTATGTCATGGTATCATCACATGGAATTCACAAATATTTAGTGCTTGATTAATAAATCTGAGCCGAAATTGAGCAGTGAATCTTACATGAACTATGTTTGTGTTCCAATAAGACTAACCTTGCTGCTTTCTCACTATGCACAGGATGACTACCACCAAGAGGGGTATGATGACAGGAACTATGCAAGAAATAATGATCGTAAGCACTGCAATCTTTCTCTTCCGGCTTGACTTCGGCTTTGCCTTGCATGAAGTGGTATCGATACAAATATTTGGGTTGCCTTCGATTCTAGCATCACAAGGATTTAAATCTCTTAGAAAAAGAGGTGATGGATCTCATGCACTTCCTCGATGTCAAAAAAGAAAGGAGAGGAAACAATTTCATACAGGAAATAGTTTGATAAACATTCCAGCTTTGCCTCAAATTATGGATATTCTTTCTTAGGGATTTAAACCACATAGTTTGAGACTTTCCCAAAATCTAGTTGAAACTTTACATTAATCCTTCTTTTATGGACTTTGTTAACATGCTTAAAGTGGAAAACCAGGAAGCAATTTTCCATTCAACTGCATTTTCTTCTGTATCCTGCATCTGTTGACAGTCAAAACTGAAGTACATGTATAACTGATATGACTCTCAGTTGTCAAGATCAGAATAAACCTTAAAGCAATCGACCCATTTTGCGATTTGGCAATAAGAGCAGAAGGAACTGATCCTTCAAGTTGGTTGTTTGTCAAATCTCTGCAAGTAGCCAAATGATGTTGTGTCTCAGTCCTACTAGTTGTTTTGCAAATGAAACATAGAAAATACTTACAAGAGCTTGAGGGATGGCAGAAATGCTAGAGCATCAGGTATTGATCCTGTCAAATTGTTGTGAGATAAATCCCTGTAAAATTGTGTTATTAGTTTATCTGTGAAGATGATGAATTCATGCTTAAAGACTCTGTTAGGTGGTGTCTATTCTATCTGCTTCAAACTAGCAGTAAAACCAGTAAGATTTCATTAGCTTGAAATCTGTGGCACTTACAAGATACGAAGTGCACTGAGGTTGGCAAAAGAAGTGATCATTTCACCGGTCAATCCACTGTATGATAGATTGCTGCAAAGATTCATAAGATGCAACCCAATGATACTTCCAGTAGTTGTAGCGTCTCTGCATGCAATTAGTTCTTAGTTGTGCTGTAGAAACTTACACTGCAGTGATCCTTGGAATACCAGATGAACTGAAAGTACAGTTCAATCCATCCCATGTATAAGCTTTAGGAGCACATGGATCGCCCGCCCAGTTCCTCTTCACCTGATACAACTCCTTGATCGCCATCATGGCACCAACTGAGATTGCCATTGTGTCACGGAAACTATGACAACGAACAGAGATCAACAGGGAGAAGGAAGACCGTCGTTACCATCTCTGCTATCTGATGCCATGTTGGTGTTTCGCATTGCCGATAAGACTTCCAGGGCATTGAGGATGGGTGGCAGCTTGGAATCGCTCGCTTCAACGAGAGAGATGTTGTACTGACCATTTCCAGCTGCAGGATCGGTGTTGTACAGAGTGTGAGAACGGAGATACTCCGGAGCGAGAGGTTGGGCATCATTCAACGGGGCTCCGTTGAGGTAGACAAAGAACCGCCGCGTCGTAGCATTCTGCAATGGCGGTGTCTGCAGCTCGGAGAAGTACATGACGGCATAGAGTTCATCGACGTCTCCCGGCTCTGTTGTGAGACTGATTTCGAGCTTGGTGGAGTCGGCAGGGTAGACTGCAGTCTGCATGATGGCGGAAGGCACCTGGAAATGATCATCTGCAGGATTCTGGACGGTGGACGTGGTGCTCATGTTCTTCCACTCAGGTTCGTTGAAGGGGAACCAGTAGCGATCGTAACGATCCAAAGGAAACCTGCAAGTGACGGAAATCGAAAAACGTCGTCGGCTGCTACCAAATCTACCAAACCTGCACCCATCGTGCTCACCTGATGTCGGCGCTACTCGCCATGTTGAGCCGTTTCAAGAGGACCAGACTACGAGCGGCGCCGACCATCGGGTACAGAAAGGTCCCCATCGGCCTCAAGTCCAACCCCGATATGAACGGAGTTCCGAGGCCCGTGTTCACCAGACACACCGACATCGGACCCGCCGCGGCCTCGGCCACGACCTCGGTGAAGAAGTAAGCCGTTGGGTTGGTGATATTGATCGTCTTCCACAGGTTGACGCCGAGGTAGAGGTCGAACTGCACCGGCTTGTCCTTGAGGTCGTAGTTCCCGTACAAGAAGGTTGCTCGGACAAGATACTTGAGCCCCGGCGTCGTGGACTCGAACGTGTAGCAGCTGCGAGCTCCCACCGGGAAGCTTCGCACAGTCTCGTACCGTCGAGCGAGAGTGCTCGGCACGTACGCCGACCACACCTTGTAGTTTATGCCGGCGTCGACGAATTGGTCGTCGGAGACGTAGGTTATGCCCGTGACTGCGTCGACATAGGAAGTGTTCTCCGGGATCCCGCAGTCGATGTAGATGAAACCTGCACAGCTAAATCGACTCAACGGAAGAAGAAGAAGATCACATGCCATTCACTACCAACTCCTAATCTAACTTACAATCTTCCCCTTGAAGAGAACTTTGATCCCATTCCCATCAAGAATAACTCACCCAAGCTTCCTGTGGACTGTCCTTCGACACCGGCAACAGCTAAAGCCAAGTGTAGCAGCAGAGCTAATCTCCATATCTTGGGAGAGCTGAAGCATCTCATTCCTGCGGCCATTTCCCCCTCTCTTCCCCGACGAAAGAGGCTGGTCGAGAGTCGATATAACATCAACCCGACTCAGATCCCTGCTCCTTACGGGTCAAATAGAGATCGTACATGGATCGTCCTCCTTTTCTATCTGCTAGTGCTGCTTCTCATCTTTGTTGCTGCGAATCTTGGACTTGTGTGTCCTAACCTTGGCACCCTCTCCACCATTATAGATTTGGACAGATTGGGGTCGCCTTACACGACAAGGAAGCAAACCTGTTTTTAGTGGCCGATATATATAT